CCGCAAAAAACAAAGCCCTTCGGATTTGTTTGTTGCCACCAACCCCCAGGAGAAGTAGTTTAAAATCCCCAGGGCCAGATAGGAAAATGGTGGCACACAGTGGACACTAGGGAGGCTGTCCTAGTCTAGGCCTCTGATCACTTGTCTTCAACACACTCTCTGGGAGTAGCCAATGTTTTTAACAGATGCTCTGGGACCCCTGGTCCAACTTACAGCATCCATGAAGCCTGGGGTCTTTAGCCCTCCAGCTGGAGGCTCTGGTCAAGCAGAATGCTTGGTGGGAGATTGCTTGAGGTCCTGGGAAGGCAGGTCACTACTTTGAAGGGTTGGTGGGGCAGGCAAAATACGGTTTTGTTTTCCCCTTATGAGTGAGTTTTAGCTGAACAAGAGGCACTTCGATGTGGTGATGAAAAAGGCAGCAGGCCTCAAATCAGAAAGGCTAATAGCTCAATATGTAGCCTGTGCTTGCCTTAAGCTGGTAGTCCTCCTGCCTCAGCCTCCAGAACACAGGGATTAGAGTTGTGTCCTCATACCCAGCTCTCTGGGCTCTTGTTTTCTTACTGTGAAATGGTGATGGGTCAATGAATCAGCTTTGCAGGTAGGTGAAGACTCTTGAGACTAATCATACGTAGAACACAGTGTGTTCTGTATGCATGTAAGCAATTATGAATGCTTGGGAGGTCTTAACACCCCACCCCATCCCCCATTGAAAATCTATATACTTTGAAATAATTATAGGCTCAGAGGATATTGCAAATGTCCAAGATCCCATATAGACCTCCTCAGTTGCTTCCAATGGCATTGTATTACATGTCTACATCCCACCACCACACCAGGAAATTGACCTTGGCACAATATGGTGGTTAAATAAGACCTCTGCATTTCATCAGCTCTCACTTCTGCAGAATTTTTGTCTGTAGACTTCAAGATACCAAACTGCTTCATGTTCATAGTATTAGTTACCTTTCTCATTGCTGTGGAAGAAGAGCTGACCGAAGCAAGAGAAGGACTGGTTCTGGCTCATCGTTTTGGAAGATATGGGTCTATGCCAGTGAGAGAAGTGGGCAGCCCAAGCAGCCTTATCCACAGAGATGAGAGCTTTTGGCATGACTTGTGTACAACATGGAAGATCAGGAACACAAATAGATAGGAAGCAGGGCCAGACACTAGAGAGGCTTCACATCCCCCAAAGTTCCATAACCTCTAAAAACAGTGCCATGCCACCAGATGGAGACCAAGTATTGAAAAACAAAAACCTATGCGGGGGGCACTTTACATCAAACAACCACACAGGAACAACTGTGGGACTCTAACTGTCAGTCTTTCTCCCCCAACCAACCATGAATCTGTTTTTCAGTTCTGTAATTTTGAGTGTTTTAAGAATGCTAACTAGGGGCTTGAGATCTGGCTCAGCAATTAAGAATATCCAATGCTCTTCCAGTGGACTGGAATTGGGTTCCTAGCACGTCTGGCAGCATACAAGTGCCTGTAACTCCAGGTCCAGGGAATATGATAAATAAAAATTTAAAAGAAAAATGCTAGCAGACTGGAATAACATAGTTCGTGCCCTTTTGATATTGGCTCCTTTTCACCATAAAGCTTGTAAGAGCCATCCAAGTTGTATGTGTCAATTATTTGTTCATCTAGTTGCTGAGGAGTGTGTTCTGTGATATGTATATACTACAATTTGTTTTTTTATTCACTTGAACGTATCCTGGCTAGTTTCAGGTTTTGACTATTATGTACAAAGTTGTGAACCTTTATGTACATGTGTTTGGAAGAACATAGATTTTCATTTCTTTAGGATAAACGCCAATATATTTTATACTAATGTCTGTGGAAACAGTAAACATTCAGGGGAAAATGTTTCTAGTTTTATGTTATTGATCAAGCAAGATTATTCATGGGCTTGAGCAAATGTGGAGAGTTGAAGCTGGGGATGTAGCTCAGGCTGCAGAATGCTTACGTAGCATGAAGCTCTGGGTTCAAGCCCCAGTACCCTATAAGTCAAATGTGCTGATGCCTGAATCACAGCATTCAGGAGCTGGAGGCAAGAGGCTCAGAAGTCAAAGGGAGTTCAAGGTTGTCCTCTCCAAGGCTGGTTTGAGAGTAACCTGGACTATAGGAGGCTGTATCTCATGATATATGAATAAATAAAGATGAAAAAGAAAATGCCGAGTTAAGCATTTTAACTATGAGAAGCAGATGAAGTAGAAAAAAACCCTCCCTCCACATTCTTACAGCTCTTAGAACTGAAAGAGGGGTTAGAGAGACTCAGTTTCTCTCAGGTTTTCTGCCTGTTTCAGAATTCAGAGTCTCAATCTAGTTACTATACAGTTCCCATTTTGAGATGTATGGTTGTACTTAAACAAAAACATCTGATTTTAGGAAGTGCTTGGGTGTTTGTTAGCTATAAATATAAAGAATATCAACTTTATGAATTAGTTAATGAGGAGGGTTATTTGCTAATAGGTAAAGCTGACTGGTCACAAATCCCAAGATGGGATTTGGCTCAACAGGCCTATGCCTCTAGCTGTTTGGAGAGTGATTTACAAAGAGTAGAGAGAAACTTTCTGCAAACTAACTTTTTTTGCCCTTTCACCTAGATTTTTATAATGCAGGGACACACACATACATTTACATATGGCAAAGAAGTTTCCGGGGTTCACTGGAAACCATCGAGAACAAGGTTCCAACCTCTTAAAAATGTTATGGCGATGATTACAGCAAAGATTGATGTAGCACGAATAATAAAAAGCCAGAGACAGATATTGGGGTTCAAGATGAAGATCAGAGAAGCAAAGCAGTCAACAACTAAAGGGTTCTTACCCCTACCAAGGGACCAAAGGGGGGCGAGCCTGTCCTCAGAGTGACTGCAGACTGCAATGCTCTCCACCAAAACAAAGACTGCACTGAGCTCCTGCCTTATATTCCTCTGTAGTGCTGGGATTAAAGGCATGAGCTGTTTCTCTTTTAAACTGTTTCACTCTCACGTAGCCTAGGCTGGCCTTGAACTCACAGAGATCCATCTGCCTCTGTTTCCTGACTACTGGGATTAAAGGTGTGTGCTACCACTGCCTGGCTTATATGGCTGACTAGTATGGCTAGCTTTGCCCTCTGGTCTTCAGGCAACCTTTACTAGATCATAAACAAAACATCACTACAGATTGGGTTTGGCATAAAGGGCCATTGTGGCAAACAGGACCTAAAGGCAGAAAAATCTCCACGGGAAGACAGAAGCTTTCAAAATGTCTGAGGCAGGCTGGCATTAATTAGGGTCATCCAATGCCTGGGTTCTGAGGCCTTGCTTTGGCATTGGTGCGTCTGATTATTCTAGATCTGGTATCACTTTCCTTCTTGTGTGCCATCTGTCCCTTCCATCTCATCTCCATGTCCTGACTCCTCCATCCCAGTGGGACCAGGAGAGGAAGAAAGCAGAGAGCCATAGGCTGTGTGGAAGTCAGATGGGAGAGGGGGTGAAGGAGTCTATGGCTCACCTCAGGTGAACAGGGTCAGACCACCCATGGCTCCATGAAAACACACATCTAGTGGTCCAGAACCTAGAGAACCTTCTCATTCTTCAGGGGCATCTCAGATGCCAGATAACTCTGGAGAAAATGATAAAAATGATCAGCTCCAGTGTGCAGCTAGCCACGGTTCACTGGTGCTTTAAACTGCATTCCACCACCTCTTACCAATGAAGCTTTTTTTTATTGTTTCTAGTCCCCCTCTGTGTTTGTGTGTGTGTTCCTCCTGAGTTGAGAAGAGGAAACCAGTACTATCTCAGTTAGGGTTTTATTGCTATGAAGAGACACCATGACCATGGCAACTCTTACAAAGGAAAACATTTAATTGGGGTTGGCTTCCAGGTTCAGAGGTTTAGTCCATTATCATCATGGCGGGAAGCATGGTGGCAGCACACAGGCAGACGTGGTGCTAGAGAGATAGCTGAGAGTTCTACATCTGGATTAGCAGGAAGCAAGATGAGAGAGAGATACTAGCTTGAGCATTTGAAATTCTAAAGCCCACCCCCAGTGACACATTTCCTCAATAAGGCCACACCTCCTAATAGTGCCACTTCCTGTGAGCCTCTGGGGGGCCATTTTCATTCAAGCTACTACAAGGGTCTACTGTGGTTATCTAACACACAGCTACGGAGGGATGGTACTAGTTACCCATCTCATCTCCATGGCAAAATACCCATCACAAAGCAGCTTATGGGGGAAGGAGTTATTTGGGCTCAGGGTTTGAGAGGGTAGTGTCTATTGTGGTGGGGAAGGCAGGGCTGAGTTCGTGGCGGTGGATCTTGCAGCTGGGACTCCCCACACAGAATGGGGAATAACAGTGCTTCCCTCTTCAGTCCACATCTCCATACCATGGCATGGTGCAACTCACATTCAGGGTGGCTCTCCCCTCCTCAGCTAACCCTCTCTGGAAATGTCCTCATGGGAGTGTGTCTCCTAGGTGATTCTGAGTCCAGTCAAGCTGACAGTGAAGTTTTCACCACAGGAGCTACACTGTTACTGAGACTCACGTTCTTCCTACTGTACTACTGCTGTCCCTTGTTTCTGAGAGGGGTAGCAACCTGACTGTCCTTCACAAACACAATGGATTTTTTTTTTAATGTGGCAGAAGTAGTTAGAACAGCAAATGCTTAGATTTACATGTGGATGCACCTATAAAATATAGTGACATGGATGAAGCAGGTGAGACTTTGAAATAGGTTACTTTGTAAAAAAAAAAATCTGTATTTAGAGTACATGCACACAGAGGGATAACTGATGCTTCAAGGATGTGTGCAGGCAAAGGTACAGTTCCATCTAGAATAGTGGTTCAGCTTAAGTAGGTGATGGGAGCAGGCCATGGGGACACAGCAGAATAAATAGGAAGGGACTTGCAGAGCACTCGGCCTCCTGTGACTCCCTCTTCCTCTGCTCTGCCAACCCCGCCCCCAGTTGATGGAGGCCAGCCTCCTTACAACCTCCTCTCCCACCCAAGTCCTGGGATGCACACCACCTGACCTGTTGTCTTCTAGGTATCAGGAGAACCTGCCTTCCAAGTGTTTCATGAAGCACACGAGGCTGAAGTTTCCCAGATTCATGAACAGCCAGCACTGGGTGTTTGTGAGAGAGGGACTGGATGACTTCCGGAAAGGCTGTCCCCCACACCAGCACCCCAAGGGTGTTCTGCCTCATATTCATCACAGACTTCCCCAAGCTACCCCTGAGAAGAGGCAGAATGGACTGCCCAAGGGGGCAGCCCGGTCATCCAAGCTTTCACAAGCAAGGAAGGCATTCTTAGAGGACATGGAAGATAACATGGCCCTACACCCCCTGGCTCTCTACCCACATCTGGAAGAAGCTTTGCCTGCTGAGGTGATCTGCTGGGCTTGAGGGAGGGGACTCCTGGGGGAACCTGAAAATAATTCTCTCCATGAGGTCCTGGGGTGCATGCCCCAGGTGAAGATTCTTAGCCAGCCTAGGACAGCCTCCCTTTTTCTACTGAGGAAACAGAAATAGTGGGACACACAGCTGTTTCCTTTGCTTCCTGTGCAGCCATTCAGCTCACCAGAGTGTTCCACACAGGCACTGTCGGCTCTCCCCATCTCAAGTTCTCTTTTGACTTTGCCTTGAGACTGTAGATACAGAAAGTCATGCAGGAAATTACTCAGTGTCACCTATATATGTTTTAGCCTGGGACAAAGAGATCTCTTTAAGAACTCATGACCATGACACTGGAGTATGGCTCTCATTTCCCTGTCTTAGTTCCCCAACTAGGTTTTACAGCTTTGTTTTGAGGCAGGGTCTCTTTATGGTTCAGAGCTGGCAGCCCACATCTCCAGTGTAGGTTTGACTTCACAACTGCAGCAAAGAAACAACACGGTCTAGTTTCCGTGGTCCACTCGATTCATGAGCCTGTTGCATCCCTAAGTCACTGTGGCTCTGGTGTGGTCTTCCCAAGAATGGAGCTGAGGTTAGACCAACAAGGATCAAGTGGGTAGGGGTGGAAGGAGAGGTGGCTCTTGGTGTGTGTGTGTGGGGAGTCATGTGTATGTTGAGATATGTGTGCATATGTGTGTCTGTGTAGTAGGGGCAGAATACAGCCTCTTCTGTTGTTCCTTGGTGATGACCATCATTTTATTGAGCCAAAGTTTCCTACTGGCCTGGGACTCACTGAGCCCGGGAGACAGGCAAGTCTCCATTACTTTAGCCTTAAGACTACAAGTGTGCCCCACACCCAGATTTTTCATAACATGAGTTCTGGGGGTTAAACTCAGGTTCTCATGCTAGCAAGGCAAGCACTTTACTGGCTGTGCTATTTCCCCCAGCATGTGAGGTGGCTTCTTAAAGGAAAATGGAGACACCATATTCACAGCAGGCATGAGAGATGCCCGAGACACCAGTAGTCAAGATGTCTAACAGAGATTCCAAGCTCTGGGCTTTGGGGGCCTGGGGGAGGCTCACAGGCATATTTCTAGAGGAGATGGAACCGTAGCACACCCTGAGTGCCCAATGGCTGGGTGACAGATAGTGCAGTACCCAGTGCAAGGCTTGGCATTTGAAAAGGAACACTGGAGAAGTGACTTAGTGCACTTTGTTATAGAATTGGGGTCTTCCTTTCCTGCAGTCTTCCCCCTAGCCTAACCCAAGTCTCTTTGTAGCTCTTATTGCAGGTGCTGGAAGTACTCGACCCTGAGAAGAAGCTGGTGGACACGTGGGCTTATTGTCGGGATACCAAAAAATTGTTGAAGGAGCCCACAAAGCTTGTAGAAAAATGTTCTTCTCAAGTGTGCTTGTGAGTACTGCTGATATCTTTCCCCTGATGAACATTCTAGAATGGCCTTATCATATGTAGAATAATTTTGCTAATTTGGGTGTTTTGTTTTGCTAGTTAAAAAAAAACAAAAAACAAAAAACCCTCTCAGTTGCATTTAGGCCAGGCTGACCTCCAACTCATTATGATGCTAAGGATGACCTAGAATGCCGAGGTTCCTGCCTGTGTTTTTCAAGACTGGGATTTTAGGCCAGTGCCACCACACCTGGGTACCTAGAATACTTTTAAGAAGCAATGGCAATAAAGTCTTGTGGAGGAAGACAAGTCATGGCTCCTGGGGATGTATAAACATGAGCACCCATCTAGCTTTTATTTGACAAGAAGATGGCAAAAAGCCTGATGATTTATTCAACATGGTAGGCCAGTGGTCGGTTGGATAATTATATGCACATGTGAGCACATATGTATAACACAGGGAATTGTTAATGATGCCCTCACTTGTCGAGCATGGGAATCAAGATTCGCTAGACCCAGTACAGCTTAGAAAGGTTTATTCAGAGAGAACACTTACATAAGAGGCAGGCGGCTGCCGCAGGTTCCAGCTCCAAGGGTTTCAGATAACCCAGGCTGGCTTGAAGTTCTTCATCTTCCTGTGTCTCTATTTCCAGAGTGCTGGGATTACAGGCTTGTGCCACCACACCTGGCTACATGCTTGTCATCTAAAGCAATTATAAAATCTTCTATTTGGAGGCCCTGCTCATCTTTGCATAAACCAGGCCCATAATTGCTTCCTTTTCTGAAACTTTCCAAGCATGAAACTTAAACAAAACTCTTTTGTATCATGCCCTTGCTCTCCCAATCCCATATGTAAATGTTGATATAAGTAAGCATAGACATAAATAGATTTGGGATGAGACACTTTCACTTTTGAGGCTCAATGAGCTCACCATTGGGTACTGCGGAATAGGGTGATCTAGAGACCTCAGGTGACAAGGATACTATTGTAGCATTTCTTGCTCTCTGGTATATCTGGGGGAAACAACTCATCTCACTCCTGCCCTTCTCCTACTGGAGAGGGAGAGGACCCATAGGAAGCATAAATTCTTCTCCCCCTCTGCGCTGGAGGGAAAGTCATCCCTGGTGGGGACTGGGTGGGAGAGTCTACCAGTTTATGTCCCTCCATGAACAAGTCCTCTTGGACCTAAAGTCACACCCTCCAACTCAGCAGCTCCTCGTCATAAAAGTGATAGTTTTGCCGGGCGGTGGTGGCACACGCCTTTAATCCCAGCACTCGGGAGGCAGAGGCAGGTGGATCTCTGTGAGTTTGAGACCAGCCTGGTCTACAAGAGCTAGTTCCAGGACAGCCTCCAAAGCCACAGAGAAACCCTGTCTTGAAAACCAAAGGAAAAAAAAGTGGTGGTTTGGCTTCTGTCTTCACTGTTTATTCACTGTTTATATTGTCTTTCAAGTTGCTTAGAACCTGGAAGAGAGGAACATTATACATACAGATACAATGTACCATTTAGTAAGACAATAAAGGCAGGATCTGTCTTTCACATTGGGCAATTTACATGGTTAATTGCAAATTAACATGCAAAATCTCTAAGGCAGTGGTTCTCAACTTTCCTAATGTTGTAACTCTTTAATGGGTTCTTCATGCTGTGGTGACCCCCAACCATAAGATTGTTTCATTGCAATTTCATGACTATAATTTTCTACTGTAATATAAATATCTGATATGGGAGTCTTTAGAGGTGTCACAACCGGCAGGTTGAGAACCACTGATCTAATATAAGACATTACAAACAAGTGGAAGCTAGTTAGTTACCCACTCACTCAGAAGAAGTCCAGCAGTGATATATTAATATGTTAGCACATCATAAAGGAAATGTGTAATTTCATAGAGGTGAGCTGGGATGTTAGCATTTGTATTCGTTTCCTTTGGTTGCTGTGAAATTTTAACACAAACTTGATGGCTTAAAACAATGGAGATTTTTTTTACATCTAATAATAGCTCTGAGGCCTACAGTCTGAAATGACAATCACAGCTGAAATCAAACATCACCAGGGCTGCGTTCCCTCCAGAAGCTGCAGGGAAATTTGTTCCTTGCCTCCTCTAGTCTCTGGTGGCTGCTTGTGTCCCGTGGCTTGTGTCTACATCTCGCCAAATTCAAGACCAGCAATTTCGTGTCTGTCTGGTGTCCTCCTGTGTCCTGCTCTTGTGTTTCAGGTTTCCCCCCTCTGCCTCTGTCCTTACATCTGTGGTGGTGTGTATGACCCAGCAGGAGAATCCAGGATAATCTCCCAGTCTCAGAGGTGTGGATGAATCACACCTACAAAGACTCTTTGAAAGTAGAGTACCACGAGCTCCAAGGATTAGCACTCCATCTCTTTAGAGGCCACTATGACCCTCCCAGAGCAGGTGACACCACCCCTCTTGGAAACAAGTTTTCTTGGCCAGATACTCTATCCTTTCCTCTGAGAAGAACCCTTGAGGGAGGCATCCAAACTCGCTTCCCTCTGGATCCCACAGAAGTCAAGCTTCCTTTTCAGTGCCCACTGAACTCATTGACTTTGCCAGTGGTTAAGGTCACATTGACACCTATGCTGCCACATCAGTGATGTTGTCCATTGTCCTGAAAAAATACCTGGCAGAAGCAGTGTCGGAGGTGGGGGTCGGGGCGGGGGTTATTCTGGCTCACAGTTGGAGATGGTACAGTCCATCATGGCTGGGAAGACATAGGGGTAGGGCAGCCTCACAGACAAGACAACAAGAATGTACCCCAGAGGCCCTGTCACCTGAGGCCCAACAGGAAGTAGAGAGCTTGAGTCAGAAACAGGGTCACATAGCAGGTTTTCTTGGACCACCAGCCCCCAAATCATGACACAGAGATCAATTATTAGTTATGAATGCTCAGCCTTATCTTATGCTCGTCCCACTAGCTTTTATAACTTAACCTGTTATAACCTTCATCTACATTTTGCCTCAGGGCTTTTTACCTGCCTTTCCTTCAGTATGTTCTATTCCATGGCTGGCTGGCTGACCCCAGGTCTCTTTCTTGCTCTCTCTCTCCCTTGTTCTCTCCTTCTCTCTTCTCTTTTCCTATTTATTTTCTCTGCCTGCCAGATATTAGATCAATCAGGTGCCTTAGGCAGGCAAAGTAAAACAACAACAACACACACACACACACACACACACACACACACACACAAAAAAAAAAAACCAGCAACACACCTTTACATAGTTAAAGTAATATTCCACAACAGGGTCAGACTATAACACTCAAGCTCTGCCCCCAACAGTTTCTCCTACCTTCCTTCCAGAAGTTCCATAATCTGAACATCCCCAGCTGTCGACCAAGTATTAAATATCTGAGCTTATGGAGTAACTTTCCCATTCAAACCTTAACAGTTGTTAAACAAGTGTTCACCAACTGCCACACTGTCATAGAGAGCATAGCTGAAATCACAGACTAGACCACTCCATGGGCAGAAAGGTTGAATTGGGCATCAGACTACCAAAGCTGTCTCTGGGTCAGGGTCGAGGGGGCAGAGAAAGAGCAAATTGGTGGGAATGCAAGTGTATTTTATGTGACAGTGAACAGGATGGGGCTTTGAGCTGATGCAAGCTGTTCAGATTGATTGGGAACTAGATGTCCTTGTGGGAGGGAGTGGACCTTTGGGGCAGACTGAGGAAAGGAGGTTCCTGATTAATGGAATTTAACCCTCTGTTTACCTAATGACCTTTCTGCTTACCTAATCAAAGTCCTGCTTAGGACATTGTCACCAGCACTATCTTTGGGGACAGGGGCTCTGCTTTGGATCTACCACATAACACACAACTATTTCCATAGCGACTGGCACAGCTGATGACATCATCTTTCCCATAACACTTTTCTTTCTGTGACAGTCTCACTGTGTAGACCAGGCTATCCCTATGTCAATCTTTCTGCCTCTACCTCTCCAGAGCTGGGATTCATTACAGATGTGAACTACCATACCCAGACTTGTGACCTTTCTTTTTTTTTTTTTAGCTTCTGGAACATTCTTTTTCCTTAGTTTCCTCCTAGCTCATAATCCTCTCTTTCATTTCCTTGGACTGGTTCCTCTATCTATCTATCTATCTATCTATCTATCTATCTATCTATCTGTTATTTTGAGACAGGGTCTCCCTGTGTAGCTCTGGCTGTCTTTTTGTTGTTGTTCATTTGTTTTAAACCTTGAAGTACTTCAGTCTCTGATGTTTTTTCTGTACATTCACACCCAAGTGATCTTGGCCACTTACAGGTGGGCAGTCCAGGATTTGTCCTTGGATCTGTAACTAACATCACAGACTGTGCAGATGGAAACCAAACTCTTCATTTCTCTTACATATTCCTCCTCTGCCTTTCACAGCTCAAGAAATAGTAAGTAGCCAGTTGCTTCCAGAACAACAGCAATCTGCCAACAAATGGCAATGTCTTTGTGAAATCTGAAGTACCCTATTTAACTAGTACTATTAGTATTATTAGTACTCATAGTATTACTAGTACTCATAGTCTATTCCAGGAAGCCACTGTTTCTTGTTTGTAACATCAAAATAGCTTATACTTGTGTAATGAGAATGGGTCCCATAGGTTCATATATTTGAATGTTTAGTCACTAGAGCACGGTAAGGGTTAGGAGGTGTGGCCTTGTTGGAGGTGTGTCACTAAGAGGGGGCTTTGATGTTTCAAAAACTCTCTCTCCCTCCCCCTCCCCCTCCCCCTCTCCCTCTCCCTCTCCCTCTCCATCTCCCTCTCCCTCTCCCTCTCCTTCTCCCTCTCCCTCTCCCTCTCCTTCTCCCTCTGTCTCTTCTCCAGCACCATGTCTGTCTGCTTCCCACATGATGATAATGGACTAACCCTCTGAAACTGCAAACAAGTCCCAATTAAATACTTTATAGGAGAAGTTGCCTTGGTCATGGTGTTTCTTCATAGTAATAGGACAGTGACTGAGACAACTGGTGTCATGGCCATTAAGCCTAAACCCCCTTCTTATTCCCTCCCTTCCTCTCCTTCTCCCTCCCCCCTATCTCCTCCCCCCTCTCTCTCTATGACATTGGGGTGATCGTGCATGCCAAGGCGGATACGTCAGAGAACAGCCTCAGGTGTGGGTCCTCACCTTCTACCCTGTTTCAGGCAGAGTCTCTTGGCATTTGCTGCTGGCTTGTGAGCTTGCAGGGAGCCTCCTGTCTCTGCCTCCTCCCTCCATGTGAGAGAACCAGGACTACAGACACTGCTGTCCAGCCTAGCTCTGTGTGCTTTCTGAGGATTTGAACTTGGGACCTCACACCTGTGCAACAAGTGCTTTACCCATGAAGTCATTTCCTGGCCCATTCTATCTTTAAAATAAAAACAATTACATTTTAATTTATTTTAGCTTGTGTGGTTACATGTGTGCCATAGTGTTCATCGGAGGTCAAAGGACAACTCGTAAGAGTTGGTTCTCTCCTTCTCCCATGTGGGTTCTGAGAACTGAACTTGGGTTGTTAGGCTTGGCTAAAGGTGCTTTAAGCTGCTGAGCTGTTTCACTGCTACTGGAGTCTTCTTGTCATACAGCGCAAACCTGGCCTCTCACACACTCGAGTGTCATTCCTGTGCTCAGCCTTCCCCAGGTGCTTCCTAACGCCAACTAAAGCCACACTGGTCTACACTCATGTAGTGTGTCCACACCAAGTTCCTAATGCCAACTAAAGCCACACTGGTCTACACTCATGTAGTGTGTCCACACCAAGGCCTTGCCCACTTTGATATTTGGCTGGTCCAGTGCTTTCCTCTTCCAGGTCTGTGCTCAGTGTCATTTAGCAGAGAGACTTTCCCTGCAGAAATGAGATGCTTTCCTGCATCCCTCTCCAGCCCTTTCCCCTATTTACTTTTTCTTTGTATTGTTTCTAAGCAACTGGTGTATATTATGGAGTAATCTTTTTGTACACTGTAAAGATGTGTCTCTGACAAGGCACCTTGTGACTGGCCAATAACTAGGCAGGAAAAAGTTAGGTGGGAGAGCCAAACTAAGAGAATGCTGGAAAGAAGAAGGGGGAACCTGAAAGTCACTGACAAATGCAGAGAGAAGCAAGATGGGCAAGAGTTAGCTAGTAACATTAGCTTGAGCTACCGGCCGAGCATTTATAATTAATATTAAGTCTCTGTGTGGTTACTTAGGAGTGGCTGATGGGACAGAAACTTTCACCTACCGGCCTATATTTGTCTGCATCATTCAATCTGTCCATCTTACTGAGTTAAAGGCTTGTGAAGACAGGGATTTGGGTTACATTTATGGCTGAGTACTGATTCCTAACACTTAATCTCCAGCACGTATTTGGAACTTAAGAAATATTTCCTAACTGAATGGAAGACAAGTTATTACATGGATATATGAAGAAAATGGTACCATTTTCAGGGGCTATCTTGTGGAAATGCCTCCCTCAGGAAGGGATATGTAAGCTGGGGCTGTAGCTCTGTTGTTAAGAGTGCTTGCCTAGTGCACACAAAGTCTTGGGATTAATATTTGGAATCAGGTAAGCAAAATTCATTGGTACACGGCTGTAATCAAATACTCACGAGGAACAGTAGGGAGGGGCAAAGTTTTAGGTTACCCTCTACTCAGCCTTATGAGTTGAATGATAAGTGACTGCGTTTGACACGCTCAGACTTATATTTAGCAATGAGCATTTGGCCTGGGGTTTAAATAAAGGATTCAGGATTGGGAGGATAGATAGAAGATGTAGAAAGGCCAGTGAGAGCCTTCCACAACAATACAGAGAGGCAGAAAGCTCAAATCTACCAGACACTGATGAACTGCACGTCAGAGATAGGGAGGGTGGGGGGGCACTATCCATGATTCTATTTCCATAAGATTACAGCTCAACCTCAAGTGTAGTGACTTCAACATGGCACACATATTAATTAACTAATAAGTGGTACTCATAACTTAAAAAGCCAAAATGACACTGGATTTATGTTCTTAAGTTTTAATCTTTGAAGCTATGATTCCTGTGACCTTTTAGAGCCCTTGAGAGGTCTGACCTCACTTTCCAGTGTTGCCTGTTGAGATTCACTTGGACTCATCGAGCCGAGTCTTTAATTCTTTGATGACCTCATTGTCTTTAGGCCCAAGAAGATGCCGGTGTCACATTCAGACCAGTGGCTTTGCAAAGAAAAGCCAAACAAAGTGAATTCGCTCTATAAAGACAGTCTCCTCCATGACAATGTACGCAGAGGAGTCCAAGACTTCTGCAACTGGGCCAAGGCACTTGTAAGTTAGCAGTGACGCACAGTTCATCTTTACAGCTAGCTAAGCTGAAGAAGCCTGGGAGTTTTGAAGAGACAAAAGTCAATAAAAATTCTCTGTATAACAGGAAAACAAAACAAAACAAAACCCAGAATACCAGCCCGAGACTGTACTTCAACTGCTCTGCCAACTTGCTGTTTCCAGTCTCAATGACCAGAGTCCTCTAAGTCCCTAAATTCTCCTTCTATCACACTGGCCTGTGGTGTGAGTGCCAGCTGTAACTGGAACTTTTCCTTCTACACTATTGATTCTTTTGCTCCATTGATTGCTCTGTTTCTTCTCATTATCACCCTGCCTTGTTCTGACCCTGCTGCATCCCTTTAAGGCTCTGACTGTTTCACGATTCCTCTCCACAAATGCTACTTCACTTCCAGCTCCAACTCATGATGTTTCCCAATTTTTTTTTATCTCCCAAAGTGGGACTTTTCCGAAACTAGTTTATCTTCCCATGTTAGGCCACATCACAGGATAACAGTCTTCTGGCTGAACCACTCAATGTGTCAATTTCTACCCTACCAACTGCATCCAGAGGGCAGGCAAGGACACGGTTACTCCAAGCACAAAATACCATTGAAATGGCCTTGTCTATCTGGGCCATGGAGAGGGCAGGCCCCACCCCCTTAAGAGGGCCTGGACACATGGCCCAGTGGCTGAGAGTACCTAGGTTCATTTCCCAGCCTCCATGTGGTGGCTCACAACTGCCCACAGCTCCTGCTCCAAGGGCACTTGGCGCCCTCTACTAGCCTCTGAGGACACCTGCACAAATAGCAACATACACATACTTTTTTTTTTTTTTTAAGATACTATTGGAAAATACTCTAGGAATGTCACTGCTACAAAGTGCTGGAGAATTTTGCTTTTGGTCAGACAGCATTTCCTTGGGGACCCATGGCTTCCTGCAGGTTCTAAGTGGTCTCTTAGACTCCCCAGATAGTTCTGTCTCCAGTAATTGCCCCTGGAGCATTGTCTTTGCCTCCAAAGTCCCTGCTCCCCAGGAGTGGTCAACACCTCCTGAGATGATGAAGGAAGCAGGGAGCTCCTGGCCACCTTCGAGACATTCATGCTTGCAGTGTCCTTGCAGGGAAGTTTGCCCATCGATGAAGAGTTTGTCCTGCAGCAGTTTGACACTGACTATCAGACCAGACACAGCTGTGATGCACTTCATGGGAGGACAAGGATTCAGGTATGTTGAGAACTGAAAAAGAGTTCAGGGCTGAGTCAGCTGCAGGAGGCAGAGTTGTGCCATCAACCAGACCATGAGAGGTGATTCCAGAAAACCCAGGTGACAGCAGGAAAACAAATGGAAAAATCTAAGGAAACTGAGTTATGGTAAAGCCTTAAGTGTTCTTGAATTGTGGTCCTTGCGGGCTCTGGCCTTTTCAAGTAGACCTCTCAGAATGTTGTCATAGTTGATTATTATTTGATAAGAGAATTAATATTTAATATCTATGATAGCAGTTTATATGAAGAAGACGTATCATTTGGAATTGTTACTGACTACTCATTTCCAGAGTCTTTTTTATGTGTTTCCTATGTTAAAACTGTAACATCAAATGGAATATTACTGAATGCTTATTATTTATCCTAAAGAGTAATACAATAATCATTGTGAACACTGTAAATCTTATGCCCAAAGAATTCTTATTTGAATCAAATTGACCACACATAATTTTTGTTAAGAATTTTTAAAAATTATTTTTAGTTTGTGTGTGTGTGTGTGTGTGTGTGTGTGTGTGTGTGTGTGTGTGTGTGTGTGTAGGGATATGTGTACATGAGAGGGGGGGCACCTGTGGAGGCCAGAGGCGTTGAATGCCCTGAAGCTTGCATTACAGGTGGTTATGAGTCCATGTCAACCTTCTGTAGGACAAACCCTTAATCAATGGTCGACCTTCCCTGAGAGAGCACAGTGGGCGCTGGAAGGAACCCCAGGCCTCTGCAAGAGCAGTAAGTGATTTTAACCTTTGACATCTCTCCAGAACACAGCATCTTTCTTGGTCACATTCTCACCTAAAATAAACAAATATTGCTGCAAACTCATAAGTGTGGCTGGAGAAAGAAGATTACAGCAATATTTTGAAGGGAAGTGTCACAGGGAGCCCTGACAATCTGGTCTTTTTAACTTTGTGTTCATTTGCCAATGCAAATAAACATGCATGCCTCATTGTGTAGTGAACAACAGACTTAAGTGCCTGTGTCGAATGGGGAGTGTCTTCCCTGAAAGTCAAAAACAGCACATTATCTCTAATTAGCTCTGAGTTACCTGTAATTTTTTCTTCACACACCTTACCATGTAGTTTTAGTTCTCTGAAGAGGAAAACAGAATCAAATGTGTGCAATTTTTAAAGGCTTCTCTCAGGGTGAGGAGATGGTGCAGTAGGGAAAGTACTTGTTGAAGAAGCACAATGAACTGGGTTTAAATCTCAAGAACCCATCCAAAGCCAGACATAGGAGCACATGTCTGAGATTTCAGCTCTCCTGTGGTGACATGGTGGCATCAGGGATTACAGAGATTCTCAGAAACCCAGAGCCAGATAGCCTGACATCTCAGCAGTGAACAACAGAGAGACCCTTACTCAAGCAATCAAAAGTGAGGACCGGAGCAGAGCTGTCCCTCTGCCCTGCACATGTGTGCAGAGGCATGTGCACTTCCACTCATACACACGCACACCCACACACATGCACACAATCCACATCTATGCACACAGTGTTCTGTGGGCACAGAACTCCCAGTTCACAGTTTTTGCCTTTAGTTCAGTATAATGAATCTGTTGTTCTACAGTCTTGACTGAATTGTTTCTAATGACTCTTATGAGATACTTGACCTGTTCTTCTGAATGTGCTGTTTTCTTTGGTTGCTTGTAGATTTTCCTTTTTGTCAATGTTTTTGAACACACACATACACACACTCAGTCACATACACACACTTACACACACACCTTTCTCTTCAGACTTTTTGTGCTAGGAGTTCACTGAGCCTCTTCAAACTATGAACTTTCAATTTTCATAGACTTTTTTTGCTTTTAAAAATTATTAGTATATATTATTTGTACAAAATAATGGATGTGTTTTGACATTTTCATATATGTGCACAATGTTCTTCTTTCATGAACTTTGGAAAAATTTTGACCATTAGTTCTTCAATTCTGTTTTTGGTTCTGCAATCTTTTCCCTACATTTGAATTGCACACGAGCAGGCTTGATGCTGTGTCCCAGCTTCTGTCCAATGGTTTTCTCTTTTGCTTATGTTTTTCTGTTGATAAGTCTTTAAATCCTGTGATTTCTTTTTCCTGAAATGTCTGTGATTTTGTCTCATAATTACAATCCTTGTGTCTAGACATCTGGTGTATGTCTGCTTTTCATGTCTCTGATGAAGTTTCACAAACCGCTCAGATGAATTTTCATCAGAGCCCATGTATCTGCTCTGTGCCAGTTTCTGTGAACTCGCTTATGTCCTCAGGATACACTGTTTTCCTGCATAGATTCATGCCTGGTGATTTTCTGAGTGGATGCTAGGCATGGTAGTTTTCACTGTAATGGGTGTTTTGGGCACTTAGGGTTTTTTTTGTTTGTTTGTTTTTGTTTTTGTTTTTGGCTTTTCGAGACAGGGTTTCTCTATGTAGCATTGGAGCCTGTCCTGGTACTTGCTCTGCAGACCAGGTTGGCCTTGAACTCTCACTTAGGCATTTTTATAAATATTTTTGAAATTTGTTCTGAGATACAATCAAGTTATTTGGAAAAGTCTGGTCTTATGGGGCGTTGCTTTTAAGATTTCTTGAGAAACAACAAAGTGATGTTCAATCTTGGGCTAATTACTTCATAGTACTGAGAAAGACCTTAAGTGTGTTCTTCCTGGGGGTGGTGGCAGGGCGGTCCTGTGAGGAGGCTGCTGCATTTAGCTGGCTCTTTCCTTGATCTTGGGTGGTTTCCTGTGCTTGTGAAGAGAGGGGACACCCCCCTACCCCACCCCACCCCGCCCTCTGTAACCTGTTGTCCTTTCTGTGCTGTGTGCGGTGAACTTCCCCTGCCTTGCTCTCCCTGGACTCCTGATTCCTCTGTTTCCTCAATTCGGAGAGTCCCCTGGGGTGATTTCAGGCTCCCCCTTCCCATGTGCCCTAGGGACTCTTTCTCTGCACTCATCAGGCAATTATAACACTTATTTTGTTTGTCCCTTTTCTCCCAGGGATTACTATCCTGGTTACTGAGGCTTTTTTTCCCCTTGTGTTCCAAATGTGGGAAGTAGGAGGGAAAGTCAGTCTGTATTCTGGAAATGCAAGTCCCCATCTTTAGTTTTCTACCCCACATAGAGCTCTCAGCACTGCTATACTCCGCCCTCTGATATTCTTTAAAAATGTTTTTTTCCCTCCCACCTTAGCTCTTTTCATGTGTTTGGTCTATCTGAAGACCCCCTTTCCCTGTGTGGCTCTCTATCTCCTTTTAGATAAGGGCATATGTTAATTTTTGCTAAGGATGTTTTTTTCTTCTAGGTCCATTGGTTGAGATTATTTATAATTTTCTTACTTTCCATTCCTCATAGCATTGTGTGCCCTTATTTTTCTGTTTTTCTCTTCTCTCTGTTTGCCAACCTGTCTGCTTATTTATTCATTCAAAAAACATTTCTGAGCATCTGTGTGTTCAAAGGTGTTGATAGCAAATGACACAACACTGGAAGCCTACTTTATATACCCAGGACTTACAGTCTAGCAAAGTCAACAGGCAAATGATTAACTGTAACAGAGTGCTGTCTTGTGTGTACACATGTAAGAAGAAATGATTGATCCAACAAGTATAGGGTATGGGGAGTTTCAATAAAGGCTTCCAAGAAGAGCTTGTGCTGAATCATGGAAGACCACCAGTAAGTTAACAACTCCTGTTCTTTGGTAGGGTACCATTTCTTTCTCCACTCCTTTACCATTCTCGGTTTCTCTTCTTTCAATTCAGGGGTTCTTAGCTGAGGGAGATTTTGCATCCTTTCCCTCCCCACAAGGATATTTGGCAATGTTTGCAGATGGCATTTTGAGATGTCCTAACCCAGTGGGTGCTACTAACATCTCACAGTTAGAGATACTTCATAGTTTAATGTTGTTAAACATCCTAGCATGAGGAGGCCAGCCACCTCACCTCAGCAAAGAGTGATCAAATCCCAAATGTCAATAGTGGCAGAGTTAAGAAACAACACTGTAATTCAGCAAATATTTATAGAGCACCTGCTATTTCCTACATGCCCCAGATGCTCAGGAGGTGCAATAGAGAACAGCCGCCAAAGTCTGCATTCCAAGGGTGCAAAGCACATCAGACAGTGACCAGTGCTGCTATGAAAAGTGAGCCAAGAAAAGAAGACATGGTGTGTTGTGAGGTGTGCAGACTTTTAAATTGGGTGATCAGGGAAGATACTACCAGAAGTAGCATTAACTAGGTATAGGAAGGAAGTACCTGAGGCCCCAGTGCAGCAGTGTGATGGGTGTGTTCCAAAAGGGGGAAGAAGTCAGGATGCCTGAAAAGAGGGTGTTAAGTCCAGCCCTAGGAGGGACTGTCCCCTATCAGCTGCCATATTTTATGTTTGAGACAGACTGTGTAACTCCCACACTTTCCATTATATAGTTTAAACATGGGTAAGAGGACCTGGAGAATGGCTCTGCTCTTCCAGAGGACCTGAGTGGTTCCTAGCACCTATGTCAGGTAGCTCACAACTGCCCATAACTCCATTTCCAGAGAAACTAATGTCCTTCTGGCCTCCTCAGTACCAGTACTCATGTACACACACACACACACACACACACACACACACACACACACACCACACACCACACACACACCACACACACACGACACACACACACACACACACACACACACACACACGGGACTAGAGAAATGGCTCAGTGGTTAAGAGCACTTAAAGCTCTTGGAGAGGACCTGGCGTCAGTTCCCAGCAGCCACATGGTGACTCACAATCATCTGTAACTCTAGCCCCGGGGATCTAAGGTGCTCTTCAGCCTCCACAGGCATAAGGTATACATGTGATGCACCTACATTCATGCAGGCAAACACTCATACATGTAGGAAAAAAATTAAAAACATGAATGTGAGGACACAGAGAATTGTGTTTTCATGTTTCTGTGTTCCACCCTAGAGTTAAGTTGATATTTGTGACAGGACTTCTTGCAGTATTGTATCTAATGCATCCGGCTGTGATGTATGCATTGCAACATTGTATGCACCATGTCTGGCTGTGAGCTTGCAACATTGTATCTGCAGCGTGTGGCTGTGAGTCAGCTTGAAGATCTCTTTAGATCAGTGGAACACAAAGGTGAAGTAGGAGAGTGAGATCTGCTCTTCCTTCACATTTCCTTGTTCCATTAAAGGTGCAGAAGCGTAGGGCCAGGCAGCAGGTTGGTCATACAATGACCCCAGGGCTTAGTAAGTTTAACTTAATAGTTTGGTTCACTTGAGTCTTGTCCAAGATCATCACCTGTGGGTGAAATGTGTGATTTTCACTTGATTTCTACCTGCCTTGCATATGTACTCTCCTATAATCCTCAGGACACTCTCATGGGGTTAGAAACCTGTTGTCTCTGTTTTGATAATAAATAATTAAGCTACTGAGAAATGGAAAGACTGGATTCAAGCCTAGGTCTGTCTGCATCCAAGGCCATGTTCCTAGTAGTTACTCTGTTTTCCTATTTATTAAATCATGCTTCTTTTGTAAAAAATCAAAACACACTGAAACTTTGTAAATTAATTGACAAGGACCAGCTGTAAATTCTGAACAATGACACACCTTTCATAAGATGAGTCTTAGATTATTGAAATGATCAACCAACCAATAAACAAGTAAGTACTGCCAACTAACAACCCTGGAATTATGTCACCTTCTCTAGAATCCTCATAAGCCCAAGTGGGTGAAGATGAGGTATGGAGCCTGGTATCTCAAGACCAACCTGTGGAAGAAGCAAAGAGCAGATGAACCCTTGGTTGATCCCAAGATTTCACACAAAGCTCAAGATGCCAACTTTAAAAACCATCTTCGAGAGCAGGTACGAGTGTATGCCAAGATTTGGTTGTCTGAGGCACAGATGATCACTACACGGTTGGGCACATGAGGTTCTCCAAAGCCTGGATATGTGTACCAAACTCAGCAGTAGGTAAGGCAAGAGGAGTTGTGGAGATCACATAATAAGCAAGACTTGGCTTCAGGCTTCATGGCAAGCACAGTGCCTCTAAACTGGGACAGCACTCAAACATTTTGTGTTTGAGACAGGGTCTTACTATGTAGCCCTGGCTGTCCTAGAACTCCATACATAGACTAGGCTGGCCTCAAACTCACAGAGATCCTCCTGCCTCCTGAGTGGTGAGATTAAAAGTGTATGCTTCCACCCTCAGCCCACTACTACCATTTTGAACAATTTGTCCTATGAATAAATGTTTAAGGGGCAGGTGACCCAGTAGAACCACCACAGTGCTCAGAACTGCTGTGATGACCTGAAGTTTCAGGCAACTAAGTGTGGGACTTGTTTCCATCAGCAAGAGATGACTGCCAAAGAATTCAAAACTGCGCCTGGGAAGTTTCATTGCTAGTATCTCTAAGAGAGGGGACAAAAGTTAAACGCTTAGAAGTGACAAAGCAGCAAAAGCCACACCACCAACCGTGGCCCTGCTTTACTGGAGATAAGCTGTGTGCTTGCCTGTCTCTTGTGTACATGCATCTACTGGAGCAAAGGTCGTCACTGTCACCCTGGAAACAGGGAGGTGTTGGCACATGCTGCACAGGACTCTGATGAGCACATTTGTGGACCTCTTCTCATTTCCAACAGACCAGAGTGCCTCTGGACACTAGGTGGGAAACACATGTGGAAGTAAAACTCTGCACAGATGTGGATGCTTCCTTAGTAATTACCTATCAATCTGCTCTCCAGATTGGAAAGCTAAGACAGATGGTGGTCATTTTTCTGTTTCCCAGTGCTGGGTATAAAAAAAATTGTTTTTAGGAATGAGGTATACCATAACTCTATAAGCACAATGTGTTTGAATAAACTTCAAAATAATATAAATAACAGTAGAATTTCTGAGTGCATGGTTTAGGGGGTGCCCAAATGTATGGGAATTTAATTCATATCATACTTTATTCTGACAGCAAAAGCTATTTATGGTGTCTGTCAGAGTCTTATAGTCAGCTAATGAAGAAGTAGCATCTATTTGGGCAATATCGTTGATATAATAACGCCCTTTATAATTAAGATCTGTAAATTGCGGGGCGTTGGTGGCACACACCTTTAATCCCAGCACTCGGGAGGCAGAGGCAGGCGGATCTCTGTGAGTTCGAGGCCAGCCTGGTCTCCAGAGCGAGTGCCAGGATAGGCTCCAAAGCTACACAGAGAAACCCTGTCTCGAAAAACAAAAACAAAAAAACAAAACAAAACAAAACAAAAACCTGTAAATTGTGGGGCAGTTCATTTGATTCTCTTACAGGTATATGTAAAAAAAAAAAATTAAAATCTATAAGTTGTGGATAGATTCTCTCGTTAGTTTCTAGATATTCCAAGTCAAAACTTTTCAATTGCTAAAATCTGTTGCTTATCCTTTATACGAGTGGAAGAGAAAAATGGGCAAGAGGTTGAAATCAGAAGTCTTTAAAAGCCTTCATTCCTTAAGTGATGAACTTCAGAGTGAGAAGGAAGCGCCTGCAGTGAGGGGCCTCACAGCGGCTTCCCACCAATTTCTCCTTTCAACTGCTGTTTTAGGTGGAGCTGCTCCCAGGCCTGCATGGAACCAGAACCACTGCCTTTAAGGACTTCCTTCTGAGCAGGGGTTACAGGATGCCCAGGGTGAGCTAAGAGCCATTCTGCAGACCCCTGCTGAGGGCTGTGACGAAGACTTCTGTGGATGAGAAGTACCCTAACATAATCAGATAGTCCTCTCCCGGCATCCATAAGCCTCAGGAATGATGTGGTCAAATATTCAATGTTATGGTGGTGCACATCTTTAATCCCAGCGCTTGGGAGGCAGAGGCAGGTGGATCTCTGAGTTCAAGGCCAGCCTGGTCTACAAAGAGAGTTCCAGGACAGTCAGGACTGTTACACAGGGAAACTCTGTCTAGAAAAACAAAAACAAACAAACAAACAAATTCATCATCACTTTTCAGATGGAGCCCTTTGGTTTCTGCTACTGTAGAGAGTCTATCTTCCCGCTGCTTTGAAATCACTCTCCTTGGGACCAAAGTGAGTGGAATTGAGGTGCAGAGCCCGTGCCTTGCACAGCCTGTTACTGAGACATTCTGAGCTCTCTGGGAACTCCTTAAGTGACCTGTATTTTCAGGTCTAAGGACAAAGTTATGAAGCATGGTTCAGCATGAAATGGAGTTGGCACTCAGAACTGTGTCACTACAGTGTGAGCTCTGTCCTAACAGAAACACATGGTGGTTAAAGCTCCTGTCCAGAGGCCTCCCAGCTTCTGTTCTGCCCTCTCCCTGTTCCAGAAGGTTTGGTCTGTCACATGGAAAGGACATTCCAGCCTGTTGTGTGATATTTTGTTTGCGTTCTGACAAATAAAGCTTGCCTGGAGATCAGAGAGTGAAGCTAGCCACTAGTTAACCATAGAGGTCTGAGGTCTGTACAGAGAGGAGACAGGGAGTAATAAGGCCGGTGGAGACAGGATCTCGGCCCCTTTCGGTCTGAGAATTCAGAGAGATAAGAAGCGACTGTGGCTGCTCCTTTGCTTCTTTGATCTTTCAGCTTTTACCCCAATATCTGACTCCAGGTTTTTATTGATAAGACCAATGTGGCTCCCCCCTCGCCAGCCTTCTCCCACAGCAGGCTCCTCCCACATCCACCTCCAACTTAAAGATCCCAGTGGGAAGTCAGCTGAGCAGACCATACAAAAGCTGTGCAAACACACAGCTAGACACTAGGCATGCGGGACCAGTCATAGCTAATAACAGGCTGTGCACAGTCCTCCATCATGTCCCTCAGGTTCCTTAGTGACAGATTAGCCAAGGCACTCTGTTAGAATGAGACACTAGGTTTCTTTTTCTTCTTTTTCTTCTTCTTTTTCCGTCCCACTCCATGGTTATCATTCTGAGATAGGGTCCCCAGTTAGCCTCAGAATCACTATGTACCTGAGGCCGGCCCTGAACTTCAGATCCCCCTGACCTACCTTCCAAACACAAGACTTACAGGTATGTGCCACCACACCTGGCTTGGATTTCTATTTCTTAAGGGCGATAGAACTAACAGTGGCTTATATTTAATGTCAAATAAATGAACACATTGAGCATGCTCAGAGCCAGCCTGGCTTTAGGTAAGTTTAAAGCATGAGATGGAGATTTAGGATTAAAACATTCCATCATAGAGTTCACTGGAGTGTCTCCATTAGCCCTGGGCAGCAGGCCCAGCAGCTATATTTACTCTATGCTCTCTCTAGGTATATAGTCTATACATACTGGGTTTGACATACATGTAGTAACTGCTTGATCTGCATAGAAAGTCCACATAAGCTTATATATATTTATATGTAGAATATGTAAAATATGTTTATTAATATTTTGTCATGTATTTTATATACTTTTGTGTATTATGTAAGTATGGTGCATATGCTTTTATTTTTGGAGTTTGTTTGTTTGTTTTAGTGACCTTGAACATATGATCCTCTTGTTCCCAACTCTTTTTTTTAGTGTATGTGCTGCCAAAGCGAGCACATGTTCCCAACTCTTAAGTGCTGGAATTATAGGCAGGTGCCACCATATACACCATTATTGTGTAATATACATACATACATATATATGTACATATATATCTTGCACATATATAATGTTATTGTATAAGATATTTTAAAATATTTTAAGTTGTGATATGTACATATATATATCTTACACATATATAATGTTATTGTATAAGATATTTTAAAATATTTTAAGTTGTGTGTGTATGAGTGTGTGTGAGA